AATATATAAAAATGTAAAATGGGCTGCATGAACGTCGTTATGTATCGTATATGTTCGTGCCGCTGCTAAATTCGCGATGCTATCACTAGCTAATTTATCCGGAGTTTTGACATCAACAAACTTTCGGTTAAAATTACTAAAAACTGCGATAAAAAATCTTGCACCTATTAAAAAAAGCATTGATAAACATAAGTTGTTCGATATATGTAAATGTACAGATGACGTATTCGTCATTTTATTATTTATGAATATCTCGTATACAACCATTTTCCTCATTGCGCAGTTTCACAATTTATTATTTGCGACACAAAGTATGACGTAAATCGAAATTGTTCTATGAGGAAAAAAGATTATATTATAACTCATAATGATACAACCGTATTCGCAAATATTTCCTTGACAAATTATTATTTCTAAATTACTTTCAATTTGCCTAAATAAAAATAATTTATTTTACAATTTATGTTTTGCAATGAATTTATAATTTGTTGTATGATTAGAATTTTAATAAAGCAGTAAGTTTCGTATATATCCTGCATCAACAATTTCTTCACAAACAATATTTAATTTCTGGAATTTTATCTCGAAGTTTATAACATCATATAGTTATCAAAATAAATGTAAAACTATTGTTTATAAAAATATGAAATCTATAATTTTAATCGAGAAATAGCGGTTCCCAGACGACATGCACGAAAACGAGACATATTACAATAGATGTCTTAAAGACACCTATAAAAAGACATTTTGAAGATATTTTAAAGATACTTTTGTAAAGAAAAGAGGTCTCAAAGACATCTAAAAGACTTATGTCTCTTTAAAAAGTCTTATGTCTCGATTTTGAACTTGTTCTCTGGGTTCGTGAAATGATTTCAATTTTAAATTCACGTCGAATTTTTGAAACGTTCAAGGTAGACGAAAGTCTGAATCGCTACCTCTCTGAATTGGCACTTAATCAAAAAGTAATCCCTATTCACATAAGTAATGTAATTTTATCGTTTATACATTCAAGAAGTCGAGCGAAAAAGCATGCACGCATTCTTAAAAATACAAGGTAACAACAAGGTAGGCACGTGCTCTTTTACGATGTACCTCGTTAAAGCAATTATGCCAATTGGATGAAGCCTAAGGAAGTAAGAGTCGCACATCGCGCTCGCCAAGATAAATTTTCTCATCGTTATCGAGACATAAAAGCCGCTCGTTTTATCGCTAAAAATTAAACATGTAGGTACAATACACTTTAATAGTTGTAAAACACCTGTATGTAAACATAAGCATCATATGTACACTATTAGAGAAAAAGAGAGCTGTTAAAAGAGTAATGGTAATCCAATTAATTAAATTAAATTGAATTTTGTAACATTTAACTTTCTTAATGTGTGTTTCGAATTGTAAATTAGTATTCATTTCTGTAGGCAGTTTTAAACAATGTCCACAACGTCCACATTAACGTATGCATTCAGTAAAATTATATACCTTCAGTGGCAAACAAAATTTTCAAGCGAACGTTCGTCGAATATTTTTAATAAATAAATGCAACTGTAATTAAAGTTGTAACTTTATGATATGAAGCAATTAGACAAAATGTGATGTTAATGAGTATGTATGATAATGTAACGCTGGTATCTCCAGCTCTAGACAAATTTACAGCTATTTTGAATGTGTGACAGGTATTGTTATCTTTTATTTCTATGATGATAATGGCTATAGTGCATCGTATCTTTGTGGAATCTTCCTACAAAATGTCGCGTCGCGTCGCGTCGCGAGGATTCAATGCGCGATTGCACTCGTGATATCTCACAACGCATATGGCTCAAGTAAGTATCGCATAAAGTGCATAAAGTGTACGTAACATCCGATAGATTATAACAAAAAGGTTATTCACTCAGCCTGTTGCACTTATGGAGGAGCGAGTAAAAACATTCTCGACACAAAAATATCTCGTGATTGAGATAGTGTATCGTTAAACACGCAATGTGAGCGTGACGTTACTTTTAAGATGAGTCTAGGTAAAGTTATACGTGTAGGTTTTATTTAAAATTTTCGTTTGAATGAAATTTTAGTAAAATAAAAAACTGATTAATAAACAATGGAAAGATTTCAGAATAAATTCTTCTACAAAGATATATTTTGGGGGAGACAATTTTTCTTTAAAAAGTACTGTTTAATTTTTGTATTGTTAATTTTCTCCAAATTTGTTCCATTGTTTAGAATATGTTACTAAAATAAAAAATTATCTAAATATCAGATCTAGAAAATTATCCTGTTAAAAAGTTGACTATGCTTTTGTTTTTTTTCCGATATGTTATAGACCCTTGTAACAAATAAAAATCATATTGGTAAACTTTGTGATATCTCGAACTATCTAAGGCTAACTTTTACTTAGAAGTAGGTGGGGATTCATAAAATTTTTTGGATATCACACATTAATTAAAAATGACTTATATAGGATTCATATCGGAAACCTGTTCTGATCGTTATTTGAATTTATTTCATCCATTATACCAGAAAATAGAAAAATAGTTACAATAAGCCCAATTGATCGAATTTCCATCCAAGATATCATTCAAAAAATTATGAGCAAGTCATTAAAATTCTTTTGACAAATGGAGAGATATAACATCCGCTAACATTATATTTTCCATTATTAGAAAGAGATTTCATAAAACGTTTACATAGATAAATAGTGGTGTCACTATTTCTCAGAAATAGAAAAATATTCAGAACAAAGATCAAGAAAGACGACAACACTTTTCTATCCCATTTATTACTAATGTATCTAAGAAAATAAAATTTTTTAAAAACCATATTAATTAGAAAACAAACCATATATTAATTGGAACACTCTGCAATTACTGAGCGTAGACTGAAATTTGCACACAATTTTGATTGAGATAATATAAAATTCTAAATAAAGAAAACTTTTTAAACAAACAACTAATATCTGAAATGATTTTTAAATATAAATAAAAAAATGATTTGAACGTACAAAGTGACACGGAATTTTTAGATCCCTTATACTGTATATACCATTTTAATTTCTAAGATTTAATTAATTTCTCTTTTCTTTAGTTTATCGAGTGTCTTGTTGTGTTGTTGCTTAACGTGATCTCATTAGATCCATGACAAGCATGCTGTCAACATCGCATGATATATCCATCTTTTAACTGCCATGTAAGTTTTTTATTTAATTACCTTTAATTTAATTTTCAATCTTCATTTCATTGACTCATTTCATTGACTCATGGTTTATTATTAAGTATATTTGGAAATTTAACGAATATTATTGGGCACATACAGATACAATTTGACTATTTCATTCAAATACATCTTAATCATAGTTCACGTAATGACGAACAAAGTAATTTTTGTAATCTTAAACATAATTTAATGATCCAATTGTGTATAATTGTTTCATCAATTTGTATATATTTTATTTGTGGTGTAATTGCTAAAAAGGATCCTAATCTACGAGTCAAAATGTTTATTAATTGTTATATACAGTAAATTATAATCGCAACGACATCCAACGTTGGCTCTGAAAGGCTTTTTATTTTTATTAAAAATAAAAAATTTATTAATATACAATGAGACTTTAGAATAAATCCTTTTCTAAAAAAAAAAAGGAATGTATTTTAGATTATAATTTTTGATTAAAAAAATGATAAATTGTGTAACTTTTTTCTTTTACTCCCAGCTTGTCTTTCAAAATTACCTTATATACTAACCATCATAATTGTTAAAAGAAAAAATAATTAATCAACAATGTGCCAAAACTGCTATATTTACCATTTAATTAATTTGCATATATTTAAAATACAAGATTTATAACATTTAAAAAAAAATCTTCAAATTTTAATGAAATAGTTACAAAGTTATATAATTTTTAAGTTCAATTTTATATATTTTTTTTGGTTATGCTAATTGAAAGATTTGTTAGTCAAGTAATTATAAGGAATGAATGGAAGTGTGTATGGAGTAAAAATTGTAAACCAAATCCTTTCTCGATATGTGAATTAAAGTAAATAAATTATTCTATTATTCTATGATACTAAAATAAAAAAAATTAATTAACAGATAACGGCAAGTCACTCTCTGTGACCGGGAATAAAAAAAAATTCTCGGAAAGAGATACATTCTAGATTATAATACATCTCAATAAAAAACATTGTGACTTCTTATATTGCCAGCCAATCTCTCTCAAATTTATAGCATATCGTATGGAATGCATTGCTGTAACCGGTTCTACACATATGAAATTTCCATTCGATTGTCCGTCGCGATGAAATTTTAACATATGCATGCAACATATGTACGTATAATTAATACATTATACGTTTATACAATAATATCACACCTGCGTCTGATGGATACTCAATTATGCATGAGCGTGTGACGCTGCAAATGAATTTTTTAACTTGTTAAATTCGCATTGTAAATTTCATTCCGTCGTGTCCGATATTCATTTTACATTGATTATACGCGGGAGTTATCGCAAGTTGAGTTTAGATTAAATTCTCTCCTTTTCGCGCACGAATTATCGCGTTTGCTTTTATCAAGATATAAGAACATTTTATTAAATATGATATGATATGTAGGAATGCAACGCAAGTAAAACTCATAGTTAAGCAATAAGAGGCGACAGTGTTTTAGCGGTAAACGCGGTCCTGAATGCGGCATCGCCAGATAGAAGCGAAAGTGAAAGTACCACAGGCCTTTGACAGAACGATCGTTTCCGGCGAATCGGATCGATGGTAACATATCGGATCGAGATTGACGCGCGTCACCGATCGTCACGATGATCGCGAATGATCGCGCCCGGAATTCCGAGAATATATTTCACGACACGATGGATCCATGGCGTGTTGTAAAAGCTCGCGCTGTAAAAGCGAAACTCAACTAGTCATCCTCGACGTCCTTCGAGCGCGATAAGTTTGCTAATTTAAAGTCGCAGGACCGTGAAATTCAATAGGAATTCGGTGATAGTGATATCAACTTACCCGAACGAATCGCGGCCGACCGAAGCCGCCATCGTCGACGACGTCCCCTGCCACGATCGGAACGTTCATTGTAGCCGCCGTCGCATCATATATAATGCTGCTCCCCGTCCTCCTCGATCAAACGTCGATTATCATCATCGTCATCGAACTAGGTTCTATACTATATATATATATAGAAAGCACTGGATGATACGTCGCACGGAGCAAGCATTCATACGTTCACAAATACGCTCTCAGTCATAGACGCGTGCCGATCGATCTGCGAGCTGCGAGCACAATCGAAGAATTCCAAGCTATCTCAGCTATCTCAGCGATTCAATTTAAATAAATTTAAATCGCGACGTAACCGTCAGCGTGAGCGCGCCGTTCGTTCCTCGCGCGACTTCGCGCGACTCTCGATTTCGTCGGTCGGTACTGACAATGAGTTAACTTAACTGCAAGTAAACCGGAGCTGACCGGAGTCGAGTGACCGCCGGACCGAGCCGAGCCGAGAAGATCGATCAACGCGATCGTGTAGCGTCGACAGCGCACTAATCCTCCGGTTGCTTCGGGCTTCAGGCTCGCTGAACTCGCTCTCGACAGACTCGACACTCGACTGACTCGACACACGAGACACGGTGAACGGTCGAACGGTCGAACGGTCGAACGGTCGAACGGTCCAACGATCGATCGCTGTTCCGATCACTCCGAATAGGTCGCGTACGCTCGATACGCTATACGAGAGTATAGCGACTGCGACAGTCACGTACCAGTCACGCAAACACACTGTGTCGGACTATCGTTCGGAACTCGAAACAGTATCCTCGGAACAGTCGAAACGCTGCAACGCGCGTCAAGTAGCAATACTGTACAGCGACCACGCGCACACTCACACACGCAACACTCGCGCACACACACACACTGGCGATCACGCGAGTCCGTTGCAGCTCCCTATATTAAGCACAATACACCTTGATAACTTTCATGGGGGGATCTGCTACGGTACCTGAATGTTATCTTTAAAATGACCTCAACCCAACTGACATCAATTGAATCGTTAATCAATTTAGGTAGCTATTTGTATTCTTTTTCATCAACATGGATTGAAATTATTAGAAAATTCCGATATCGATACACTACTTTCTATTTGGACGATATTTCTTGAACAAAGGCTAAAAATAGTTTCTAGAAATACAAATTAGAAAGTCTTGTATCAGACAATATATAGAAATTTTTATGGTTCTCTTTGAAATTTTGCAATAATAAACTTTTTCGTAAAATATAAACGAAAATTAGCGCCTGACAAAATGGATCTCAAAACTGACACAGTGAGGCAGTAATATTCCTATTCGTTTTCTTTTACAGGCATTATTTATACAAAATACCTATATTTATACTAAATACAAGGAATGTATACAAGATTTTTTTAGAATCTTTTCACTTTTGTACAAAACGTTTTTCATACAATTATATGCATATTTTATGCTGTTCTACAAAATGTAAACATATAATGCACGATTTTTTATTTATATATTCACCGTACAAATTTATATAGACAATATTCTATGAGTATCCAGGAAAAAATAATGAAAAGAGTAACGACTCTGTTACTTTTTGAGTAACAGTAATGGTAACGGTAACGTTACTTTTACAAAAACGTTGTAAATCTCTCAACTCTGTAAATCTCTAATATCAATGTTGCTTGATAATTAGTGAACCACTATGATTAATCAGAATTTAATCAAAATCATTCATAGAGTAACTTTAAAAAATCAAATTTAAATTATATATAATTTAATTGCAGCGATAAATTCAACCGAAGGAACCATGTGTGTGTGTGTGTGTGAGAGAGAGTGTGTGTGTGTGTGTG